ATTGACTCCTGCACAGTCTGTATTTATTGTGTTGCCATCTTTGTATTTTGCTCTCATTCTATCTTCACAGCCTTTCTCATGCAATATTTTTTGCTTGACAAACGTCAGTCTACTACATGCAATCTTCTTCCTCACAAGACACAGGGTTTATAAGGAGAGGTTTTACGTTCCCAGAGCGTGTCCATTTTTTTCCAGTTATATCTGTTAGTCTAATGCAAATATCACCTCTCCTGACAAAACTCTTCCCTCTTAAATCCTTGACCTTCATGGCTACAACCCCTCAGTTCCTTTCTCAGTGCACACCTCTTGCACTGATTTCCTTGGGGAAGGTCTTCTCCCTTCAACTGATACATCTTATCTGACCAAGTGGTACATCTCATGTCAGTGATGGGTCCTCTACAAGGAGCTCTCTCTTCCCTGATCTTGGAGTGAGCCAAGTAAACTGCCAGTTTTCAAACAAAAAACGTGTACATTTCTTATGTAATAGACCACCTGTGCATTTTCATTGAATTTGGGGAAAAAAAGCTTATTCTACAAGGATTTTTAAGGATGATTGGAAAGATAAACAATCACCCTGACAGATCACATCGTCAAGAGGGTCTGTGAAATAATATGACAAGAGTGGTGATTAACTCTCACCACAAAGGAAAATGTTGAGTTGATGTAGGTGGCGTATAAAATCCCCCACTCTCTTTATGAGTCAGGTAAGATGCCAGAAAGCGGAGGTGAAATTCGAGGGATGGAACTGTTTTCACTCCAGCCAGCTAGTAGTATGATTTTTACAGGAAAAAAATAGTTTAAGTACTAATTTTTTTTTTACGTTGTCTTATTTAAATAGCAAAATCTAGCATTTGCCCTTGATCTCCAATGACACTGTTTGCAGTTGGTGATAGTCAAGGAGAAATGTTATTAAACAACTCCACTCTGCCACCTCCAAGGTTAAATTAGCATTTTTGGATAACGCGTCTATTCTTCTGTCTCCCACCCAATGCATATGATTCTACAGTCACATCTCTCTCTCTGTCTCCAGAAAAAAGGGAAGCTGACTAGCCAAGATCCCAGTCTTGTCCCACACAGAGCCCTTTTCAGAGGCAGAGCTTAGCTCTCTAAGAAGGGGAAAAGCATTTCATTCACGATAGCTGCACAAAAGTGGCTTAACAAATGTATAAAACAAGACCACTGAGAAAAAGAAAAGCATTTTTCTGCTCTTTCTTTGGATCAGTCCAGGATCCAAAGGACAGTTTTAAAAAAAACAGTGGCGTCCCTTACCTAAAATTATAGACTTTCCATTGCCAAAAATCGGAAATTTAGAAATGTGAAGAAAATGCCATTATCTCCACAAATTCATGGGTTTAGGGGGCTTGCGATCATTCCCTGGTATGTTCAACGGGAGCATAATAACCACTCTGTTTACAGTGCAGCCTGAACAGGCTGCTTTTTTGAGTCCATTTCTGCATTTAGGAACATTTTCCATAGACTTAACTCTTCAGTCTATCAGCTATGTGTATCTGAGGAAAGGCAGAGAGCACCATATTTCAGGTGCTGAGAAAGATGCAATAGGATCAGACTATCAGCATGAGTCACTTCATTGTTACAGCTGGAGAGTGGAAGATCCGGAATAGAATACATATCTGTATGTACACGTGCACATATATGTAAGCATAAGCCAGGAGAAAGGATGCAGTAGGATAAAGAGCAAAAGGGTAAAGGAACAGCGCGGGGAAAAAAGCCAAGAAAAAGGTGGAGTGAGGCAGCGGACTGAAGTGAGATTTCAGAAAGGAGAGAGCAAGACAGGATGTAAGAGCAAGGACAGAAGAGGGGGGAAAAAAGGGAAGGAGAAAAGAGAGAACATATGAAGGGGGACAAAAAGGAGAGAAAAGGCATGAGTGGACAAAAAGCAGAGAGAAGGGGGAAGGTAAAGCAAACCAGCACAATGTTTTGTAAGGCAGAAATACTGAATCGTAAATAAGACACAGAAAAGAGAGACATGGAGGGCCATAAGACGACAGACAGACCTTGCAGAGCAAGGAAGACGTGAAAAAGCGGTTGGAGAAAAAGTCACGTGCTAGAACAGCACTGGTGAAAGTCACAGGTAAGAGGTGCTGCTGCTGCAATGAGGGATAGAGCCAGGCTGTGGCAAGTGAAAGGCTACAACTAAGGAGAGTAATTGCCTGAAGGTGGGAACAAGGGATAAGACCATGGAGAAGATAAATGACACCATTCTACTGGGTTCAAAATGTTTTCATGTTGCCTCCTTTTGTCTAAAATGAAAATCAAGATGGTTATTAAAATCGTCACTTAGATCTCATATGTGATACTTTAAGAAACTAATTTTTTCCAGTACAATTCTTCTTCCTCCTGCTTCTTTCCCAGTGCTGGATTAAATTAGTCACTGTACACTACCCAGTTATACCTCCCTGTCAGGAAATAAAACCTCAGACACCATTAAGCTAAAGCAGACCTTGCTCTCTGGCTCTCTTTGCACATACAGGCTGTTACAGAAATATTTCAGCAGACAAATCTAGATTTCCTGCAGCTCCAAAATTACTATGATTGTGTTTGGTATCATTAGTAAGATGAGGAAAGAAACAGGAAGCAATCAGGGGTGCATGCTTACAGAAAAGGCTTTTCTTCTGGCTTTCTAATTATTAGGTCTTACCAGTATAGAAGGAAAAAAATTGCTGCTGGATAAATAAACCGTCATTCCTTTGCATGTCAAACAATAGGAACAAAGGAGTGTGGGATGGGCATTCATATTATCAAATTCTTACTGTGATTAGCATGTGTTCAATGTAATAAAAAAATAATCAGGAAAGAACATGCTATAACAAAAATAACATGGAGGCTATACAGTAAAGCCCCAGGAAGATCAAACAATGTTCCCAGGGAAGCACCAGCCTAAGAAAGCAGAGCTTTATTAGTAGTAACAGAAGCAGCATATGGAGATGAATGAAACCATATTTGTAAATGTGACATGCAATTGCACACTCTCGCCTGGCTTTCATTTTTCACAACCTGACTCAGCCTCCACACGGATCCACTCCCCCATCTTTTGATTCATAAATTCTTGATCTCATAAAAATAAGAAGTTACCGTCAAAGACAGCATACGTGCAAAGGGCACGAGATGACGTGAAACACGAGCCTGCTGGAGGGCACAGAACATGCGACCAATCCTCTCCCTGGGGACAGAAAAACCTGGGGTATAAAACCACAGAAGTCAGGACCGTTCCGGCCGGGGCTGGGCCGCAGAGGCCGTTCCGCTAGAGGCACGCCATGAGGTACCCGCATCTGTTACAGCGTTGCATAACGCTGCTCACGCTGCACGACAGCTGCCCGCTCCGCGTTCCCCGCACCTCCAGAGCCGAAGGAGGGGGCACGCGGGGAATGAAAACGAGAAGGGTCTCTTACAGCACGTGCGCTACCTCTCTCCAGCCACTGGGAAAGAGATCGCGGCTAATTAACAGCCAGCGGTGCGAAAGACAACGAGCGCTGCACGAGCAGCGCTGTGTAACAGTATACGCTCACTACGCAGCGAACAACTCCGCAGGGCTGCGCGCACGGCGGAGGGAGCCCGCC